TGTGGCTCTGCACATAACTGAGTTCCAACAGCTGAGGATTGGTGACCTTGATGCTGTCCAGGGTGCAACATCAGAGGGAGAAACATCAGCTCCTGGAGCCTCCAACCTGGACACCACCTTCAACCCCAGAGACCATCCAAGGGGAGGAGGAGCTGCCCACGGGGACCATGGGAGACAATGTGGGTATCTTGCAGCCAGAGCCACACGGGGCTGAGCTTCACAGCACTTCTCCCAGCCTCTGCCAAGATTGGATCCTGACATGTACGATGCCCTCTTCATCTCAAGTCTATGAGATTGTCCAGGAGGGGACTGTGTCAGGGTTGGTGGCCTGCTCTGTGCCAGCACAGGGACTTACCAAGGAAGGGGCTGCCCTTGTGGATGGATGGATATGTGGGTGGGTGGATGGATATGTGGGTGGGTGGATGGCAGAGGAAGGGGTCAAAGGAAGGAAAGCTTGGCTGGACAGATGGATGGACGGATGGATGGATGGACGGATGGATGGATGGACGGATGGATGGACGGATGGTTTGTTCAGTGCATGAATGGGCGATGGTGGGAATAGTGGTAAGTCTGCACCAATGTCTGTGGGCCTGAATCACTCAAACGTAAGTCTGTCTCTCTGCCAGTCCGGGAGCCAGAGCCAGATGCTCGGGAATGGCTTTGACCCAGTCCCATCCAGGCCCAGGCTGTGGCCGCTCACAGACACCCTAGTGCTTCTGGCTCAGTGAGCTCTGGGTGTCCCGTGGGAAGCACCACTTCAGCCACAGACACCGCCTGGCTCTGTTAGTGTCACTGATGACACCTTGGAGGCGGGAGCTGATGTTCTCCTGCCTCCATCAAAGGCCACTGTGTTCTCGGGTGGGGGGGGGAGGGAAGAGATGGCAGTGGTGCAGAGGAGAAGGGCTGGGCCCTGACTCAGGAGGTCAGAGTGACATTCCTTGCTCTGCGTCTCGTTGAGTGAGCTCAGGCCTGACCCTGTGCTCATGTCCCCATCTGAAAACTGGGCATCATTAAGCTGACCTTGAGGGGTTGTCCTGGAGACCCTCGGATGGTGCTGGGACGTGCTTCAGGGACTGGAGTAGAGGGCCAGTGTCCCTGCCAGACTTGAGTCCCGGCTCCAGGCTCAGGCCACCGCCCCTCCCTCAGGGCTGCCACCTGGGGCTGGCAGATCTCAGCTGCTTCTGGGGACCAAGGGCGTATTGTAGGTCAACTCAC